AGGTCGCTCTGTATCTGTAAGAGTGGTCGTCATGGAGAAAGGCAGGGTGATCGCTTGGGGCCAGGAGTTTGAGATCAGCTTGGGCAACATACCAAGACGCCGTCTCTACAAATGTAAAAATTAGGAGCTGGGTGCAATGACTCACGTCTGTAATCCCAGCACTTTGGGAGGCCAAGGCAGGCGGATCACCTGAGGTCAGGAGTTTGAGACCAGCCTGGCCAACATGGTGAAAACCCATCTCTCCTAAAAAAAAAAAAAAAAAAAAATGCGGCCCGGTGCAGGGCTCACACCTGTGATCCCAGCTATTTGGGAGGCCGAGGCGGGTGGATCACTGGAGGTCAGGAGTTCGAGTCAGCCTGGTCAACATGATGAAACCCTGTCTCTACCGAAAATACAAACATTGGCCTGTCGTGGTGGCGGCCACCTGTAATCTCAGCAACTCGGGAGGCTGAGGCATGAGAATCACTTGAAACCGGGAGACAGAGGTTGCAGTGAACTGAGATTGTGCCACTGCACTCCAGCCTGGGCCACAGAAGAGACTCTGTCTCAATCAATCAATCAATCAATAAAAGCAAGAGCTATCTAGATGCTGTCTACAAGGTTAAAATATTATGAAATATGTTTTGTGATGATAACAGAAATCAGTAATATAAAGATATTTCCAAAAAATATAAAACCTTTGGCCAGGCATGGTGGCTCATGCCTATAATCCCAGCACTTTGGGAGGCTAAGGTGAGCGGATCACCTGATGAGGTCAGGAGTTCTGACCGACATAGCAAAACCCCGTCTCTACTAAAAATACAAAAATTAGCTGGGTGTGGTGGCGCGCTCCTGTAACCCCAGCTACTTGAGAGGCTGAGGCAGGAAAATTGCTTGAATCTAGGAGGCAGAGTTTCAACCTCCTCCACCTCTCAGGCTCAAGGGATCCTCCCACGTCAGCCTCCCAAGTAGCTGGGACCACAGGGGTGCACCACCACACCTGGCTAATTTTTTTTTTTTTTTTTTTTTTTTTTTTTTTGTAGAGACAGGGTTTCCCTATGTTGCCCAGGCTGGTCTCGAACTCCAGGGCTCAAGTGATCCTCCCGCCTTGGCCTCCCAAAGTGTTTGGATTACAGGTGTGAGCCACCGAGCCTGGCTCCAAAATATCATGTTGTAACACCGCAAATGGATATAATTTTATTTGTCGGGAAAGGATGAAAGGGAGGGAAAGAGTGAGGGAGGGATGGAAAGAAAGAAAAAAGGAAAGAAGGACGGGAAGGGAGGGAGGGAGGGAGGATTTAGAATCATCTAAGCTTCTACCTTAAAAAAACAGAAAATAAATACATGGTAAGTCAAAGGAAATAAGCAATAAAGATGAGTGCATAAATCAGCAATATGCCACTTTTTCTTTTTTCTTTTTTTTTTTTGTTTTTGAGACGGAGTTTCGCTCTTGTTACCCAGGCTGGAGTGCAATGGCGCGATCTCGGCTCACCGCAACCTCCGCCTCCCGGGTTCAGGCAATTCTCCTGCCTCAGCCTCCTGAGTAGCTGGGATTACAGGTGCGTGCCACCATGCCCAGCTAATGTTTTGTATTTTTAGTAGAGACGGGGTTTCACCATGTTGACCAGGATGGTCTCGATCTCTTGACCTCGTGATCCACCCGCCTCGGCCTCCCAAAGTGCTGGGATTACAGGCTTGAGCCACCGCACCCGGCCAGCAAAATGCCACTTTACACCCACTAAGATGGCTACAGTAAAAAAGAGGGACAAGTGGTGATGAGCATGTGGAAAAACTGGAACCCTTGTATGCTGCTGGTGGGAATGGAAAACGATGCTCTGGAAAACAGTTTGGCAGTGCCTCAGAAAGCTAACCGTGTGGCCCAGCAGTTCCGCAGCTCGGTATATATATATATATCTTGGAAAGGTGGAAACAGACAACCACACAAAAACTCACATGTGAATATTCATAGCAGTGTCACATACAATAGCCAAAAAGCAGAAATGACCCAAATGTCCATCCGTGGATGAAATACATACATAAAAAGGGTAGGTCAGGGTGGCTCCGCCTGTAATCCCAGCACTTTGGGAGGCCGAGGCGGGGGAGGATCACAAGGTCAAGAAATTGAGACCATCCTGGCCAACATGGTGAAACCCTGTGTCTACTAAAAATAAAAATTGGCTGGGCATCACGGCACACGCCTGTAGTCCGAGCTACTCAGGAGGCTGAGGCAGGAGAATCGCTTGAACTCGAGAGGTGGAGGTAGCAGTGAGCTGAGATCTTGCCACTGCACTCCGGCCTGGCGGCAGAGTGAGACTCCGTCTCAAAAAAATAAAAAGGGTATAATCACACAATGGGATGATATTTAGCTGTGAAAAGGACTGAAGTACGGACGCCCGCTGCAAGGATGAACCTTGAAAACATTGTGCAAATGAAGAACATCAGTGACAAAGACTACATGTTGTGTATTTCCAAACATGATAAGTCCAAAATAGTTAAAATTAATAGAGACAGAAAGATCAGTGTCTGCTTAGGGCTGGAAAGTGGCTAGGGAGACTGGATATTAACGACAAATGGGTACGAGATTTCTTTATTTAAATTTTTTTTATTGTGGTAAAATATACATAACATAAAATTTACTATTTTAACTTTTTTTTTTTGGAGACAGTTTCGTTCTTGTTGCCCAGGCTGGAGTGCAATGGTGAGATCTTGGCTCACCACAACCTTCGCCTCCCGGGTTCAAGCAATTTTCCTACCTCAGCCTCCCAGGTAGCTGGGATTAAAGGCATGCGTCATCACGCCCAGCTGATTTTTTGTATTTTTAGTAGAGTCAGGGTTTCTCCATGTTGGTCAGGCTGGTCTCCAACTCCTGACCTCAGGTGATCCGCCCGCCTCAGCCTCCCAAAGTGCTGGAATTACAGGCATGAACCACCTTGCCCGGCACTATTTTTTTTTTGAGATTGAGTCTTGCTCTGTCACCAGGCAGGAGTGCAGTGGCGCGATCTTGGCTCGCTTCAACCTCTGTCTCCCGGTTCAAGTGATTCTCCTGTCTCAGCCTCCCTTGTAGCTCGGATTACAGGTGCACCACCACACCTGGCTAATTTTTGTATTTTTAGTAGAGACGGAGTTTCACCATGTTGGCCAGGCTGGTCTTGAACTCCTGACCTCACATGATCCACCTGCCTTGGCCTCCCAAAGTGCTGGGATTACAGGTATGGGCCACTGTGCCCAGCCTCTTTTCACTCTTTTGATAATGTTCTTTGATAAACAAAAGTTTTTAATTTTGATGAAATACAATTGATATATTTTTTCTTTCATTGCCTGTGCTTTTTATGTCATTCTTAAGAAACCATTGCTAAATCCAACATCATGTTTTCTCTTAAGAATTTTATAGTTTTGACTCTTACATTTAGGTGTTTGATCTATATTGAGTTAATTTTTGTATAAGGTGTCAGGTAAGGGTGTAATTTCATTCTCTGGCATGTGAATGTCCAGTTTTCCCAGCACCATTAGTTGCAAAGACAGTCCTGTCCCCAGTGAATGGCCTTGGCATCCCTGTCAAACATTATTTGATCATATATGTGAGGGTTTATTTCTGGGCTCTCTGATTTTTTTTTTTTTTTTTTTTTTTTGAGACGGAGACTTGCACTATTGCCCGGGCTGGAGCACAGTGGCACAATCTCAACTCACTGCAACCTCTGCCTCCTGGGTTCAAGCAATTCTCCTGCCTCAGCCTCCCAAGTAGCTGGGATTACAGGCGCATACCACCAAACCTGGCTAATTTTTTGCATTTTTAGTAGAGACGGGGTTTCATTATGTTGGGCAGACTGGTTTCGAACTCCTGACCTCACGATCCACCCGCCTCGGCCTCCCAAAGTGCTGAAATTACAGGCGTGAGCCATCTGTAATTTCGTGAGCCACCAGCCTGAAAGTGTCATTTTCAGAGGGCAAAGTGAGGAGGGTGCATCCTCAGGACACTCTTACCCCAGCCTGGGCAAAGAGAGTTTAAGCAATTTCCTAAAAATTCACGGGAACCTCAGCCCAGAGAGGGGCAGCTTCCTGCCTCGGGTTGCACAGCCTTGGGCTCCAAGAGTCCCTGTCTCTACCTCCCCAAGTTCAAATGTGCGTGCGTGAGGTTCCAACCCCAGCCCTGATGCTAACCCCTGGCTGCCTCCTCTTTCTGACTTCTTGGGAGGGGGCGCAGCGGGGAAGAAAAAACAAACAAACCAACCACATACACTCAAAAAATTCCCACAAGTCAGGAAACATCCATCACAGGCTGTCCAGCCCAGGCCAGAGGGGCAGGGGTCAGCAGGGAGGTGACCTCAAGGTCTCCGTGGGGACCAGGATCCGGCGGGGGTGGGGGTGAGAGGTTGGAAATTTTCCCACCCTGAGACTTTCCTGCGTCAACCCAGGAGGGCGCCCTGGATGCCGCCAGCCCTGCCCCCAACCTCCTTCCTCTCCTGACACAGCAGCTTCCCGGCCGAGGATGGATGGGGAGGGCGCGTCAAGATGGAGCCACCAGGACCAGCAACGGTTAGGCACTTTGGGACTGACCAGACAAGAGAGCCTGGCTCAGAGTGGCCAAGAGCCGGCCTCAGAGCCGCACAGCCGGGAGGTGTACGTGGTTTGGCCTGGTTCCTGGCACACATGGCCTCCCTCTGCCTCCACTGCCCTGCCCAGGAGCTGGAGCCCAGCCCGGCCTTGGGTGTGTGAGAAGCCACTGGCCCTGGGCCCTGCTCCCCCGTCCTTCCTCCCCACAACACACTCAGGACTCAGCCCTTCCTTGTGTTAAATAGAAACCTCTTTATTCTAAGTATCGAACGTTCCTTAATACATTGGATTTGGGCCAGACCTTGAGGTGAGGGAAAGGGGTGGTGGTGGGGCAGTGCTGGAATTCTGTAGAGACTTCCAGAACACCACTCACCACTCTGGGCTGTGGCAAGAGGGGAGTTGCAGGAACAGGCTTCGGAAAATCCTTTGTCTCTCTGGCTTTCTTTCTTTTTCTTTTTTTTTTTTTTTTTGAGAAAGGGTCTTGCTTTGTTACCTCAGGCTGGAGTGAGGTGGCATCGTCAGAGCTCACTGCAGCCTTGAACTCCTGGACTCAAGTGATCCTCCAGCCTCAGCCTCCCCAGTAGCTGGGACTATAGGCACGCACCACCATGCCCAGCTAATTTTTAATTTTTTTTGTAGAGATAGGGGTCTCACTATGTTGCCCAGGCTGGTCTGGAACTCCTGGGCTCAAGCAGTCTTCTGGCCTCAGCCTCCCTAAGTCTTGGGATGACAGGTGTGAGCGTCTGTGCCTGGCCTCTGTTTCCCTTCTGTCCAGGGAGTTTGGGGTTGGGCGAGAAGACATCTGAGGGTCTTTCTATCCCAGGGGTGTGTGGTCCCAGGCAGGGAGTCAGGAGGGGCGCCGTGCAGGAGGCTGGCTTGTCAGCGGCACAGATGGGGTCACCAACGCAGGCAGCTGGGCGACCCTCAGCGCTGGGCCCGGGGCCGCACTAGAGACGGGGACCGGGGCCGAGGCAGACAGGCCAAGCTGGGCCTGGCCAGCCGCGAGAGGGGGAGGCGGCCCAGGAGGAGAGGGAGGCCGAGACAGAAAGATGGGCGGGGCACAGGGATGTCTGCAAAGAAGGCCCGGTCTCGAGGCGGTGACAATGCTCCTTCCTCAGACAGTTCCAGGTCCCGGGCCACGGCCAGGATCTCCTGGCGGGCAGCTGTGTTCCGCAGGCCCCGGATGTCAAGGAGGGCTGCCACGTGCTTCCGTCTGTGGGGAGAGGGACAGACAGGTGCATGGAGGACACAGCCCACCCGTGGACCCCACCTGACCCCTTCACTGTCCCAGACCCTGAGTTCTGGGGCCTCTGTGTCCCCTCCAGAGCCTTCCCTCACCCAGGCCCTCACCTCATACCAGCTCCCTCCAGGATTTCACCTCCAACCATCTCCAAATCCCCTCACAACCAACTCCAGAACACTCTCCTCCAAAGCCAGCCCTGGGATCTTCCTTTTCACCCCAAGCCTCAGCTTATGATTAAAATTCGCCTTCTTGGCTGGGCGGTGGCTCACACCTGTAATCCTAGCACTTTAGGAGGCTGAGGCGGGCAGATCATCTGAAGTCAGGGGTTCCAGACCAGCCTGACCAACGTGGTGAAACCGTCTCTGCTAAAACCATACAAAAAACTAGCTAGATATGGTGGTAGGTGCCTATACTCCCAGCTACTCAGGAGGCTGAGGCAGGAGAATCACTTGAACCTGGGAGGCAGAGGTTGCAGTGAGCCGAGATGGTGCCATCGCATTCCAGCCTGGGCAACAAGAGCGAAACTGTCTCAATAATCATAATAATAAATAAAATTTGCCTTCTCTCTTCGCACTCCCATCTTAGCTCAAAGGTCTCTCACATTTCTACCCTGGTCCCCAAGTGCAGATGGAAGCTTTGAATGCTACAGAAAACCCTGACTTCCATGTTCACCTGCATCCCAAGCAGCACCACAGTCATTACCGAAGTCCAGCCCAGAAGCATTCACCTGCATTCCCGTCCTAACCCTCACCTCACCCCAACGCCAGGTCCAGAAGCTTCCCCACCATCGGAGTTCCAGAATCCTCATCTAAAACTGAATTCAAGGCGTCTCAATCTAGGTCCCATTCTAGAAATTTTTTGCTTTTCCTTTTATTTATTTATTTTTGTGATGGAGTCTAGCTCTGTTGCCAGGCTGGAGTGCAGTGGCAAGATCTCAGCTCACTGCAATGTCCGCCTCCCGGGTTCAAGCGATTCTCCTGCCTCAGCCTCCCGAGTAGCTGGGACTACAAGAGCCCACCACTATGCCCGGCTAATTTTGTATTTTTAGTAGAGATGGGGTTTCACCACGTTGGCCAGGATGGTCTCGATCTCCTGACCTTGTGATACACTCACCTCGACCTCCTAAAGTGTTGGGATTACAGGCATGAGCCAGCCACCACACCCAGCCCCACTGTAGAAATTTCACCCCCAAATTGGGCCCGGGAAGAGTCACTACACCCCCATCCCATCCTCAGAATTGCGCTCCACCGAAATTCCACCCCAGGACTGCAGTTCACCTTGGAGACCCTCACTCCAGAAACATCATGCTTCAAACCAGCTCTATTCTGCAAGCCTCGCCCCCAAATCCAACACACTAGGTCCTTCCCCTTCTCCCCCGCATCAGCTGCAGATCTCCGATCCAAAACTCAACTCCCAAACCACCACCATATTGCCAACTCAAGATGCTGAACCCAAGGTTCATTTCAGGTTCATTTCAAACAGAGCTCTAGGGTCCTCGCTACCGCCTTCAACCCAGATCAGTGTCTTGATCTGCCGCATGTCAGATTCGGAACCCTCACAGCTTCAAAACGCTCATCCATGAATGGCCAGCTGCAGGTACTTAGGAGGCTGAAGCAGAAGAATTGCTTGAACCCAGGAGGCAGAGGTTGCAGTGAGCCAAGATCACACCACTGCACTCCAGCCTGGGCAATAGAGTGAGGCTCCATCTCAAAAAGAAAGAAAAAGGAACCCTGTACCCCATTTTCCCTAAATCCTCAGCCCTAGGCACCTCCTAATCTCTCCAGCTCACTCCCTTAAACCCAGCCCAGCTAGCAAACTCTCAAACTTAGCTACAGATTCAAGTTCTGACTCATGATCCAATATTCAAGTTCAGAAACTCCGTATTAGCAAGAATTCTGGACGTCTTGGGACCCCATCCGGGAATCTGTGGCTTCCCAAGGACATGACCCTATCTCCCAGACCCAGAACTGACCACCCGGAATCATTTCCAGGACCCCCACCCTCAGTGCTGGAACTGAGACCCACTCATGGCTCACTCTCTGTTTTTCTGGGGTTTTGTTTCTCTGAGAATAGAATGTCTGTCCGCCTGAATAGCACGGGAGGTGCTCCGGCAGCCACCGCTAATGCCACCACCATCCAGCAATCCAGCACTGTCCCATGGTGGTGTGGTGTGCTGGTCTGGTGCTCTTGTTTTAGACCCAGTCGACTGCCTGATCCTCAAGTCCCTTCTTTGCTACTTGCTAGGCGTGATGTGTGGGAGAAGTTACTTCAATAACTTTAATTATACCTCTTACTTACAGGTTGAGCGTGGTGGTTCAAACCTGTAATCTCGGCACTTTGGGAGGCAGAGGTGGGTGGATCACCTGAGGTCAGGAGTTCAAGACCAGCGTGGCCAACATGATGAAACCCCATCTCTACTAAAAATACAAAAATTAGCCAGGCGTGGTGGTACCTGCCTATGCTTGGGAGGCTGACGCAGGAGAATTGCTTGAACCCGGGAGGCGGAGGTTGCAGTGAGCTCAGATCACCTCATTGGATTTTAGCCTGGGCAACAGAGTGAGACCCTGTTTCAAAAAAAAAAAAAGCCACGTGCAGTGGCTCACGCCTGCAATCCCAGCCCTTTGGGAGTCCATGGCAGGCAGATTACCTGAGGACAGGAGTTCAAGACCAGCCTGGCCAACACGGTGAAACCCTGTCTCTAATAAAAATATAAAAATTAGCTGGGGATGGTGGTGCACACCTGTAATCCCAGCAACTCAGGGGGGCTGAGGCAGGAGAATTGCTTGAACCCTGGGCCCAGGAGTCGGAGGCTGCAGTGAGCTGAGATTGCACCACTGCACTCCCGCCTGGGTGACCGAGCAAGATGCCATCTCAAAAAACAAAAAAGTTTGGCTTGTAAGATGCTTATTTAGGTCTGACATAAGAACTCTGAGTGAGAACTGGAATGGAACCCTTTTGGTTCAAGCGATTTTCCTGCCTCAGCCTCCCAAAGAGCTGGGAGTACAGGCATGAGCCACCATACCCGGCTACTTTTGGTAATTCGTGGAATTTTAAGTCTGAGCCAAGTACTGTCCTAAGCACTTAACAGGAATTAACCAATCTGATCCTCATGGATGATGATGATGATGATGATGAATTTCCCCAATAACCCTATGACGAGAATACTATTATCCCCATGGAACAGATGAGGAAACAGGAGTTGAATGCCGCCTGAGCCTGCCGCTGCCCCAGTGCGTCTGCGCCCGCGTGCCCTGCGTGTCCCCAAGTCCCCCGAGGCTCCCCTGCGGGGCCGGCCCTTCCTGCCTCCGGGCGGCCCCTCGCCCCCCTGCCCTGGACTTCCTGTGACCGCTTGTTTGTTTGCGAGCCCTGGTGGCGGCAGCGGCGGAGGCAGCAGAGAAGGAGGGAAATCATATTAATAATGCCCTGGTCCCAGCAGGAAACGGCCGTCAGACACGCTCGCCGGCTCCCTCCCTCGCCCAGGAGGCAGGAAACCCGGGGACGGATGCCAAGGCCGCCCGGAGACCTCGGCCAGGCTCGGCGAGCCCCGGCGCGCAGGCGGGGAGTCTCACCTGATGTCTGGGTAGTCGCGCACCAGCACTCCCACCTCCACCTGGATGCTGGGCGTGTCCTCCAGCTGCAGGACTTCAGCCAAATGGGGCACCACGGCATCCAGCCAGGAGGCCTGGGACTCCTGTGGGGTGAGGGAGGGGAGGGAAGGCTCGGGGCTCACACCCTCCCAACACCGACTCTACCAATTCCTGACCCTCCGGTGGCCTGACCCTTTTAGAGATGGCCTGTTATCCCATCTCTAAAAGGTAGCAGAAACCAGGGGTGGTGGCTCACACGTGTAATCCCAGCACTTTGGGAGCCTGAGGTGGGCGGATCATTAGAGTCAGGAGTTCAAAACCAATCTGGTCGGCCGGGCGCGGTGGCTCAAGCCTGTAATCCCAGCACTTTGGGAGGCCGAGGCGGGTGGATCACAAGGTCGAGAGATCGAGACCAACCTGGTCAACATGGTGAAACCCCGTCTCTACTAAAAAGACAAAAAATTAGCTGGGCATGGTGGCACGTGCCTGTAATCCCAGCTACTCAGGAGGCTGAGGCAGGAGAATTGCCTGAACCCAGGAGGCGGAGGTTGCGGTGAGCCGAGATCGCGCCATTGCACTCCAGCCTGGGTAACAAGAGCGAAACTCCGTCTCAAAAAAAAAAAAAAACCAATCTGGCCAACTTGGTGAAACCCCATATCTGCTAAAAATACAAAATTAGCTGGGCTTGGCGGTGGGCGCCTGGGCACCTGTAATCCCAGCTACTCGGGAGGCTGAGGCAGGAGAATCACTTGGAATCGAGAGGCAGAGGTTGCAGTGAGCCAAGATTGTGCCACTGCACTCCAGCCTGGGAGATGCAGCAAGACTCTGTCTCAAAAATAAAGAATAGAAGAAAAATAAAATGAAATGTAGCAGAAGACAGACTGTGGCCACATTTGAGAAAATATCATTTCCTCCCAGTTTTGCAGATGATTTGGAACTCGGGGACATCTCTCCAAACCTCTTCCAAGTTTGCAAAACGTGGCCTTTGGTGAGGGCGGGTGGGGGGGGCGGGTGTGTGGACTGGATAAAGTGTACAAGGAAGCTCCCTGCATTCTTTCTTACATCTGCATGTGAATCCACAATTGCCGCAAACATTTTCCAAAGAAAACATTCCAAGGACTCTGGGCTAGAAACTCCGGGAAGAGCGACTGAAATGAGGACCTTCCAGGCCTGCTGAATATAACTGGGTACAAATGAGATCTGGCGGTCTTGAATTCCTGAGTTCAGAAGTGCTGGGATTTCTGAGTTTCTGTTGCATGCGGCCTCTCTGTGCGCTCACGGAGTCTTTTTCGTTTGCTTGCTTCTGTCAGTATTACTCGAGATGGAGTCTCACTCTGTCCTCTAGGCTGCAGTGCAGTGGCGGGATCTCGGCTCACGGCAACCTCGCTCAGCCTTCTGGTTCGTGCGATTTTCCTGCCTCAGCCTCGTAAGTAGCTGGGACTACAGGCTTGGGCCACCACGCCCGGCTACTTTTGGTAATTCGTGGTGTTTGAAGTCTGAGCCAGGTACTGTCCTAAGCACTTAACAGGAATTAACCAATCTGATCCTCAGCACAACGGATAGGGGCCATTATTCGTCGTATTTAGCAGCCGAGGAAAGCGCCCAGAGGCGAGTTCTGGGAGCGAGAAGGCCAGGCTGTAAGCGCCAAGGGCGTGGCTGCACCCTTGTTGACGGAGCCCCTGTGCCCGTGGCTTTTGAGACCTGGAATTCTCACTGGCCAAGCCCCCTCGTGGTTTTTGAAAGCCGCCCCCACCGCGCCGTCTCTCACCTCCGTCCCTCTCCCCCACACCCCGTCGCGACACTGACCAGCCGCCGAAACAGCCTCTGCAGCTGCGCCGCGTCCTCCCGGAGCCTCCCGGCCACGCGGATGCGGGTTCGCGCCGAGCTGCAGCGCAGGCGCCCACGGAGCAGGGGCCGCACGTACTCGACCAGCGCCCGCCGGTGCAGCTCGGCCACCAGCGTCTGGGGGCAGGGGAGGGAAACCTGAGCGGCGTGAGCCATGCCCCACTGACCCCCATCCCACCAGACTGAAAGCCCCTCCAGCCCTACTCGCCCACACCCATTCCAGGCACCCATGCGCGCCCTTCCCGTGCCCACGCCCCAGCCCCCAACCCCCGAACTATCCTAGGATGCCCTTCCCTGGCGCCCTAATTAGCCCGCGGACACCTCCTACCTATCCCGCTCCCAGCCTCTTCCCATTACCCAAGCTCCACTCTCAGGGGCCCTGATTCAGTCTGCGCCCGGCCTTTCACCCCAATCCCACGCACACGCTCCTCCGCAGACCCCTGGCGGGGGCCACCTCTTCCATCTGCAGGGAGCCGCTCCCCACCTTGGAGGGGTCTTCTCCAGTGGGAGCTTCTTGGTCTCCCACCCTCCCAATCTCCCCTCTTCTCGCCGCTTTCTCCCTTCCCCCTCCACCTTCTCTCCCCCACCCCTCCACCTTCCCTCCCCTCCAGCAGGCTACCTGGTAAGGCTCGTCCTGCATTCTGCGCAGAGCCAGGGCCTGGGCGCCCAGCGTGCCCACGATGCCATCCAGCGCCTCGGGGCTGCTCAGCCACTTCCGGCGCATCAGCTTGTTGAAGTGCGGCTGGCAGGGAGAGAATAGGGGGTCACGGCTCTCCTCCCTCCTACGCCCCCTCTTCACTTAAGAATATGTTCCTGGAACCCCGCTCTGTGTAGAACCAGGGCCGAGTGGTGTTGGGAACCCATGGGGAAGAGATAGCCCCAGCCCTGTCATCCTGGGGCTCACAGTCCAGAAGGGGAGAGAGACTGGTCCCCGGTAGTGATGACCCAAAGCTGGCAAGGCTGGGAACAGGGAGACCAGGGGCTTAGGAAGCCCAGAGGGGATGCCCGACTCAGCATACAGCCAAGGAGGGCTTCCTGGAGGAGGGGACACCAGAACTGAAGCCCTGGTGATGATCTTCCTTAGCCAAGTGAGGGACTGGGAGGGAGTGACTCAATCGGAAAGAAGAGTGAGTATTAAGAAAGTTCAGATTTTAGCTGAGCGTGGTGGCTCACGCCTGTAATCCCAGCACTTTGGGAGGCCAAGGCAGGTGGATCACGAGGTCAAGAGATCGAGACCATCCTGGTCAACATGGTGAAACCCCGTCTCTACTAAAAAATACAAAAAAAATTAGCTGGGCATGGTGGTTCGTGCCTGTAATCCCAGCTACTCAGGAGGCTGAGACAGGAGAATTGCCTGAACCCAGGAGGCGGAGGTTGCGGTGAGCCGAGATCGCACCATTGCACTCCAGCCTGGGTAACAAGAGCGAAACTCCGTCTCAAAAAAAAAAAAAAAAGAAAGAAAGAAAGGAAGTTCAGATTTTAGATGGGCAGGCCAGGGAGAGAACCAGAGAAGGGTCAGTGTGACTGATGAAAACAGGGACTTCATGTAAAAATTATTAAGGACCGGGCATTGTGGTTCACACCTGTAATCCCAGCACTTTGGGAGGCTGAGGCAGGAGGATAGCTTGAGCCCAGGAGTTTGTGACCAGCCTGGGCAACATCGAGAGACCTTGTCTCTACAAAACATTTAAATATTAGTTGGGACTGGGTGCGGTGGCTCATGCCTGTAATCCCAGCACTTTGGGAGGCTGAGGCGGGTGATCACCAGCTCAGGAGTTTGAGACCAGCCTGATGGACATGGTGAAATCCCGTCTCAAAAATCAGCCGAGTGTGGTGGCACACGCCTGTAATCCCAGCTACTCGGGAGGCTGACGCAGGAGAATCACTTGAACTCAGGAGGCAGAGGTTGCACTGAGCTGAGATTGTGCCACTGCATTACAGCCTGGTGACAGAGGGAGACTCCATAAAGAGAGAGAGAGAGAGAGAGAGAGAGAGAGAGAAATTAAGAACTTTAAGACATATTTTTTAAATTCATGAACTATATACTGCCCTTCAGGGGAAGAGGCCGGATTGCTTCCAGATTCCACTTCCTGGATCTGGTTGAGAAAACACGTTCCCCATCTGGCGCTCTTAGGAAGGAGTATAGTAAATGTCTCAGTTAATAACATCCTCCTTTTTGCAAGTTGCCTCTTCTCTCCACCCTTGAGTAGATCCGGTATTTGATGAAACTTGTGAAAGTGGGTGGAGCCCGTCTTACCCCCTCTTTTCTAGAATGCACAGTAGATGCGACTGTGACTTTCAAGGAAATGTGTTTGCCATTTGCTGATTTGGGGAGGAAGCTAATTTCTAACTTCTTTCACTGGTAAATGAAGAAAAGTATTGCACCTTGCAAATCCACCAAATGAATTGAGTACATAATTTTTAAAATTGACTTGTAGCCAGGCAGACCACATTAGAACATTATTAAGGGGCTGGCCACAGTGTCTCACGCTTGTAATTCCAGCACTTTGGGAGGCTGAGAGAGGTGGATCACTGGAGGTCAGGAGTTCAAGACCAGCCTAAGGTGAAACCCCCATCTCTGCTTAAAATACAAAAGATTAGCCGGGCGTGGTGGCGGGATCCTATAATCCCAGCTACTTGGGAGGCTAAGGCAGGAGAATCACTTGAACCTGGGAGGTGGAGGTTGCAGTGAGCTGAGATCACACCACTGCACTCCAGCCTCAGCAACAAGAGCAAAACTCCATCTCAAAATAAAAAATAAAATAAACAAACAAACAAACAAATAAATAATAGGGGCCGGGCGCAGTGGCCCACGTTTGTAATCCCAGCATTTTGGGAGGCTGAGGCAGTAGAATCACTTGAGCCCAGGAGTTCAAGACCTACCTGGGCAATATAGTGAGACCCCCTCTCTATGATTTTTTTCTTTAAATTTAATTAACTGTGGTCCTAGCTACTTAGGAGGCTGACTTGAGAGGATCTCGTAAGCTCAGGGGGTTGTGGCTGCAGTGAGCTATGATCATGCCACTGCGCTCCAGCCTGGGCCACAGAGCAAGATTCTGTCTCAAAAAAACAAAAACAAAACTTTTTTTTTTCTCCCAGTCCAAAAAGAAAAAAAAAAAAAAAAAGGACTTTACCACAGTAACAGAAGAGCTTAAAGCAAGCTTGGGCCTTTTGAAGTGTGTGTTTTGGGGGTGAGGGGAGCTGTGTGACCCTGAAGCCTGCACGGGGGCTTATTCCAGGCATAAGATGGGAGGGGAAGGCCGGGCGCGGTGGCTCAAGCCTGTAATCCCAGCACTTTGGGAGGCCGAGGCGGGTGGATCACGAGGTCAAGAGATCGAGACCAACCTCGTCAACATGGTGAAACCCTGTCTCTACTAAAAAAAATACAAAAAATTAGCTGGGCATGGTGGCGCGTGCCTGTCATCCCAGCTACTCGGGAGGCTGAGGCAGGAGAATTGCCTGAACCCAGGAGGCGGAGGTTGCGGTGAGCCGAGATCGCGCCATTGCACTCCAGCCTGGGTAACAAGAGCGAAACTCCGTCTCAAAAAAACAAAACAAAACAAAAGATGGGAAGGGAGAGGTGGGGCTGGAGCAGGGCTGAGGGCACACAGGGCCTCCTGGGCTTGGGGAGAAGTCCCAGGTGTTTCCTGAGGGCACTGGGGAGCCATGGCCAGTTTTGAGCTGGGGAGGGAGAGGGTCAGATTTGTGCTTTACCAAGATCGGAGGAGGCTGGAGAAAAGGGGAAAGTGGAGATAGGGAGGGGATGGAAGGGGGAGAGGAGAGGGAAAGGGGAAGCCAGGCGGCAGAATTCAGAATTCGTAGGATGAAGTGAGTAAGCCCCCGTGGAGAGGGGAGGGAGACCACAGACCCTGGGACGGGTAGGCCAGTGGGTCTGTCCCTGAGACAGAGGTGGGGGAAGGGTCAGAGGGAGGCTGCGTCTGGGTGGACACAGGGCATGGGAAGATTGGAGATATTCCCAGAATGGTGTCCAGGGGGGTCTAATTCCCTCTTCAGCTCAGCCTCAGCACCCCCTCTTGCTCTCTCTCACCCTGAGAGCAGCCTGATTTTCTTTATTGTGTTTTTGGTTTTTTGTTTTGTTTTGTTTTTTTTTTTTGAAAGATAGGGTCTCACTATATTGCCCAGGCTGGTCTCGAACTGCTGAGCTCAAGAAGTCCTCCCCCCTCAGCCTCCCAAAGTGCAGGGATTACAGGTGTGAGCCACCATGTCTGGTGTCTCGTTGGTTTTTTTTTTGTTTTGTTTTGTGTTTGAGACGGAGTTTCGCTGTCACCCAGGCTGGAGTGCAATGGTGCAATCTCGCCTCACTGCAACCTCCACCTCCTGGGTTCAAGGCATTCTCCTGCCTCAGCCTCCCAAGTAGCTGGGACTACAGGCGCACTCCACCACACCCAGCTGATTTTTGTATTTTTAGCAGAGATGGGGTTTCACCATGTTGGCTAGGATGGTCTTGATCTCTTGACCTCATGATCTGCCCGCCTTGGCCTCCCAAAGTGCTGGGATCACAGGCGTGAGCCACCATGCATGGTCTCTCTCTGGCTGGTTCTGATGTCTCTCCCTCTGTCTCTGTCCCAGCCTCTCTCCTTTCCCTCCCCCCCGACCTATCTTGTTTTCTCAGTCTGTCCTTGTTTCTTTTGCTTCCGCTCTCTCTCTCTTTTTTTTTTTTTTTGAGACGAAGTTTCGCTCTTGTTGCCCAGGCTGGAGTGCAATGGCGCGATCTCGGCTCACCACAACCTCCGCCTCCTGGGTTCAGGCAATTCTCCTGCCTCAGCCTCCTGAGTAGCTGGGATTACAGGCACACGCCACCATGCCCAGCTAATTTTTTGTATTTTTAGTAGAGACGGGGTTTCACCATGTTGACCAGGATGGTCTCGATCTCTTGACCTCGTGATCCACCCGCCTGGGCCTCCCAAAGTGCTGGGATTACAGGCTTGAGCCACCGCGCCCGGCCTTGCTTCCACTCTCTCTATCTCTGTCTCTGTCTGTCTCACAAAAAATACATAGTGGTTTATAAGGCCGGGCACGGTGGTTCATGCCTGTAATCCCAGCAGTTTGGAAGGCAGAGGTCAGCAGATCACCTGAGGTCAGGAGTTCAAGACTAGCCTGACCAGCATGGTGAAACCTCGTCTCTACTAAAAATACAAAAATTAGCCAGGTGTGGTGGCGTGTGCCTGTAATCCCAGCTACTCAGGAGGCTGAGGCAGGAGAATCAGTTGAACTCAGGAGGCGGATGTTGGAGTGAGCCAAGATCACACCACTGCACTCCTCCAGCCTGGGTTACAGAGCGAGACTTAGACTCAAAAAAAAAAAAAAAAAAAAAAAAAAAAAGCAAACGATATAGCGTGGCAGGTGGCTGGAGTGCAACGGCACAATCTCGGCTCACTGCAACCTTTGTCTCCTAGGTTCAAGCAATTCTCTTGTCTCAGCTTCTGGAGTAGCTAGGATTATAGGCGTTTGCTGCCACACCTGGCTAATTTTTGTATTTTTAGTAGAGACGGCGTTTTACCATGTTGGCTAGGCTGGTCTTGAACTCCTGACCTCAAGTGATCCACCTGCTTTGGCCTCCCAAAGTGCTGGGATTACAGCTGTGAGCCAACACACCCCGGCTGGGGCTTCTGTTTTAAATGGAGCAATCAGAGAAGGTCACACTTCGGGAAGCCAAGGTGGGTGGATCACATGAGGCCGGGACTTCAAGACCAGCCTGGCCAACATGTTGAAACTCCATCTCTACTTAAAAATACAAAAAAAAATTTAGCTGGGCGTGGTGGTGCGTGCCTGTAGTCCCAGCTACTCAGGAGGCTGAGGCAGAAGAATCACTTGAACCTGGGAGGCAGAGGTTGCAGTGAGCCGAGATTGTGTCACTGCACTCCAGCCTGGGTGACACAGCAAGACTCTGTCTCAAAAAAAAAGAAAGACTTGAAAGAGGCTCCAGAGGGAGCTATGTGTCTGTGAGAGGGAGAGCATTCCAGGCAGAGGGAACCATAAGTGGAAAGGCCCCGAGGCAGGAATGTACCAGCTGGATTAAGAGACAGCAAGGTGCCGGGCGCGGTGGCTCAAGCCTGTAATCCCAGCACTTTGGGAGGCCGAGGTGGGTGGATCACGAGGTCGAGAGATCGAGACCATCCTGGTCAACATGGTGAAACCCTGTCTCTACTAAAAGTGCAAAAAATTAGCTGGGCATGGTGGCACGTGCCTGTAATCCCAGCTACTCAGGAGGCTGAGGCAGGAGAATTGCCTGAGCCCAGGAGGCGGAGGTTGCGGTGAGCCGAGATCGCGCCATTGCACGATCAGGGGTAACAAGGGCGAAACTCCATCTCAAAAAAAAAAAAAAAGAAAAGAAAAGAGACAGCAAGGTGGCCGGGCACGGAGGCTCACACCTGTAGTCCCAGCACTTTGGGAGGCCCAGACGGGCAGATCACCTGAGGTCGGGAGGTCAAGACCAGCCTGACCAACATGGAGAAACCCCGTCTCTACTAAAAATACAAAAGTAGCTGGGCGTGGTGGCGCATGCCTGTAGTCCCAGCTACTCGGGAGGCTGAGGCAGGAGAATCGCTTGAACCCGGGAAGCAGAGGTTGTGGTGAGCTGAGATCACGCCATTGCACTCCAGCCTGGGCAACAAAAGCGAAACTCCATCTCAAAAAAAAAAAACCATAAGAATAAAATAATAATAAGAAGAGACAGCAAGGGGGCTGGGGTAGCTGGAGTGGGGTTACGGTGGGGAGCAGAGGTGGCAGGGGGAGGAGATGAGGTCTGAGAGGGAGAGGGGAGAGGGAAGGGCCGGGTGTGCAGGGTCGTGGGGGCCATGGCGGGATTCTGGCTTTCGCTCTGTGTGAGCTGGGAGCTGTGGGAGGATTCTGGGCAGAGGAGGGGAGCGGTCCGCGGTGTAACATGGACTGAGCTGTGTTATGGCCAGGAACACAGTCCCCCTGCAGGCTCCCTCCTCAGTGCTCCCACCCCCCACCATATTCACTCACCCGCCTTTGCGCCGAGCCCCTATAGGATGGCACAAGGGCCCAGAGATGGGGGTATAGGGTTGTGGGGTCTAGGAGAGCCTGAGCAAGGATTTGGGGGACCTTAGTGGGGGAAGGCTCCACCCAAACCTCAAGCACCTCCTGCTGATGGCCCTGTGTTCTCTCCCCCGTCACGTCCTCCCACGTCTTCCTTCCTGTACCCTCTCCACCCCACCGACAGCCCAGGCATGGCCCTAGCTCCCCCCGCCCCCGTCTGCTTCCCAAACACTGAGTCATGGGCTAAAGGGAACTGGAGGATGGGGGGGGTGCTTCCCTGTCCTGGCATGGGCCCCACCCCCGGCCTCCCACCTCACTCACCTGTAGCTCCTGGAACAGCAGGTCAGCCAGGACGCGGTGGCAGAGCCGGGTCACGTGGTCCAGAGCGCTGGCAGATGCTTCCCGGGCTGGCTCGCTTTCTGGGGGCCCCACCCGGGCCAGGCGCTCGGCCAGAGCTCTGTGGGATCAACAGAGCCAAAAGTGAGGGACCCCAACATCTCAGCCCAACGCCTAGACCTGTCTCCTATTAGGTGGAGCAGAGGGGCAAGGGGTGACAGGTCAGATGGGGGGGCTGGAGAAGGTCAGAGATACTTGACAGGTTGGGGGTACCTGGGGATTGGGGTGTCTAGGGATGTCAGGGGACTCATGGATGTTGGGAGGCAGAGGGATGGATGGCTAGGAGGTCTAGGGTATCCTGGAGGAGGGAAGGGGGTCTCTCTGGGTCTTTGGGTTTCAGTTTCTCTTGGTGCTTTCTGGGTGAGAGTGGGGAGGCCTCCATTCTAAAAGTCTGTGGTTCTAATAGTCTACGACTCTGAAATTCAACCCTTAACTCTTTTTGTTTGTTTTGAGATGGAGTTTTGCTCTTGTTGCCCAGGCTGGAGTGCAATGGTGAGATCTCGGCTCACCGCAACCTCCTCCTCCTGGGTTCAGGCAATTCTCCTGCCTCAGCCTCCCGAGTAGCTGGGATTACAGGCATGCGCCACCACGCCCAGCTAACTTTGCATTTTTAGTAGAGACGGGGTTCTCCATGTTGGTCAGGATGGTCTCCAGTTCCAAACCTCGGGTGATCCGCCCACCTCCACCTCCCAAAGTGCTGGGATTACAGGCGTGAGCCACTGTGCCCAGCTTTTTTTTTTTCTTCTTTTTCTTTTGGATAGGGTCTTGCTCTGTCATGCAGGCTGGAGTGCAGTGGCGCAATCTCAGCCTGGCTAACTTTTATTTTCATTTTATTTTAAATGGAGTCTCGCTCTGTTGCCCAGCTTGGAGTGCAGTGGCACCATCTTGGCTCACTGCAGCCTCTACCTCCCAAGTTCAAGCGATTCTTCTGCCTCAGCCTCCTGAGTAGCTGGGACTACAGGTACCTGCCACCACACCTGGCTAATTGTGGTATTTTTAGTAGAGACTGGCCTGCACCCTGTTGGCCAGGCTAGTCTCAAACTCCTGGCCTCAAAAGATCCACCCACCTTGGCCTTCCAAAGTGCTGGGATCACAGGCGTGAGCCACTGCCTCCTGTCCTCGTCATTTGTCATTATTATTTGTAACACAAATGATAGAACAGTAAACCCACTTCTGCCCTTTTCTTCACCAGCTTGGAGACCTTTCCATTACGGCATGAAGAGTTCTCACGTTCCTTTTTAACATCCAAGCTGGATCCTGCGGCTTAGCTGTTCCATCAAGTATTTAGTTGGCCCCTGATGGATGGACAGTTGGTTCCATATTTTCCAGGGAGGCACATTGCACACATGTCATCTCCCATGAGCCTTTGGCCTCTG